TGGGTTAGGAGGATCTTGGTTTGATTCCCGTTGGCGAAAGAGAAACTTCCTCCAATCCCCATCTCCAGACCTGTTCCGGCGTCCACCCAGCTTCGTATCCAAGCACCAGGGGCTAAAGTGGCCTGGACGTGAAGCTGACCATACATGTCAATCTAGTGCCAAGGTTAAGAATGCGTAGAACTATACGCTACCATTCACTTGCCCTATGAGCCTTCAAGGCGTGGTGCTTAATTAAGCACAGTGGTAACTTTACCTTTACTTTTTATATTAGTTCATTTGTTTGGTTCTTTCTTTCTCTGAGGATAAGATTTGGTCGCATAAGACTATATTATAAGGCCTGCAGGTGCGTTTGGACTCGAGAGAGATGAAGGAACGGGAGGATGAGCTGTAAGATATATGCCGCATCCATGGGAGAGACCAGAATTGCGTACAGAATTTTGGTAAGAAAACCCAAAGGGAGGACGGAATTTTAAAGAACTACGCACGAATGAAGAGAATGCATAAAAGAATGGATATAGAACCACAGATAGGGAGGGTTTGCATTGGATTCAGCTGGCGTTGATGCTATTTTATTTTTCAATAGAGAACACTCCCATACTTTCTCATATTTTTCTTGTATACCACAAATTCATTATGAGCCGGGATAAGGTAGTCCGTATACGGGCTGGTCGACCAAGGGGCGAGTTCGAGTCCCAGTAGGGTCAAGAATTTTCTCTTCTCCACGCGGCACCCTTAGTCCACTTAGTCCCACCCCACTAGCAATAAAAACTAAAAATAAAAAAACTCATCATTAAAAACGAAGATGAAGTATTGCACAAGGTCTCGGACTTCCCACACTCTCGTGAGCACGGCGCTTATGATGGGCAAGATAATATAAATGTAAAACAAAGCTTGCTATTGTGCAATGAAACTGTGATAATGGGCAGTGCAATGAGAAGGAGTGAAGCGCGTGCGCAGGCTGACATACTGCGACGTTATGAAGAGTTCTGCGGAGCAGAAAGCAAACAATAGGTTCACCATCTGACGCACCAAAGCATATGGTTACACTCACATGTCGATAGCTCTACTAGCACTCAGTAGCTAAGGGTTATGCTGCTTACTGCTGTCACCAACCGTAACGGACATATTGGCAGAGCGGAAGTAGTCCTTGCGGAAACATGTCTCTAAGTTCAATCGGGGCACGCCGTAGCGTAGTTGGTTGAGGTACTATGCTACAAGCCGGAAGGTCGCAGATTCAAATCCCGATGAGGTAATTGGATTGCAGCCGCACTATATTCCTGAGGTCGACTCAGCCTCTAACAGAAATGAGTACCAGGAATCTACGTGGGGGTAAAGAACGGCCAGCGCGTAAGGCTGACAACCTCACCGCCATCTGTGAACTGTCTGTCTAGGAGATTTGGGAGCCTCAACCTCTCACAACCATATGGGCATTCACGGCCTGTTACAGGGATACCATTATAGTTGTTTAACTCAGGCTACATAATGTTGGATGGTTGGTTGACTGTGCAGAATGAATTAGGAAAAAGAAGTAACTACGTGCGCAAGGTGCTATTCTCACATTTGCCTGGAGGAACTGAGGAAATCCACGACTAACTTCAGTCAGGATAGTCGGAGTTCCGGCCGATATTCGAATACGGTATCTTATAAATATCGGATAAGGCTGAAGCCGACTTCCTCGACATGTAGACACGTACCGACACTTTACATGAGAATACAACTAATGAACTAATTAACTCAATGGAACATAGTCCTTATTGACAGGCTCAGAGTCGCTCGTCTGCCGAAGAAATTCTCCCCTTTTCATAAACTCAGATGATTCATTACATGTTCACGAGGACCCTCCGCTGGACACCATCCAAAACCACATCAGTCCAGTCCACACTCATGTACCTTATATCTTTAATATAATTTTTAATGTTATCCTATCATCTACGCTTAGTTCATCAAAGTAGTCTCGTACTTTCAACTCTTATATTGATTTCTCACTATCTCTACCATGCGTGCTACATTCCTTTCCCATCTCACATTAACAACACTGAATAACGAATGCGAATCATGAAGCTCCTCTTTGCGCAGTTTCCTCAGTCTTATTGTTATTTCTCTCTCTTAAGCCAAATATTCTCTTTAGCATCCTGTTCTGAAACTTCATACTACAGGTGTCCCAAAAAGTCAGTTAACTACTTAATAAAATGTACATTATAATACGTTATAAATTTCTTTATTACTTACTGAATTTACAAAAAAGACGCTCGAAATGAGATCCTCCATATTCAGTGCAAAATTCACAACGCTGTTATACCGTCATACAGACTGACTGGCAGGTTTAAATCTGAACACTTATGATTGGATTTATTGACACCTTAAACCTACCACTCAGAACTACAGGATATTACAGCGCTATCGTTGATCTACACACTTTACAGTCCACCGTTACACAAGCATTAGGATTCTCAGTCTTCACTAGTCATCTCCTGGCAACGTATTTATAACAGTCTGTCACTTCAAATCACATATAAAATATTTTTCCTTCCTTTCTTGCCATTATTCTGCAGCTACCAATTCCGAAGACTCGACTCAATTAAATTCCTCTGCTCTCATCCTCATATCCTAGCAGGCTGGCGTCTCGAAACTCGACTCAATTATTCTCAACTGAACTCTTCTTTATAACCACTTTGCACTGACCACGCAGAAAACACAGCCTCTCTATTGTTGGGAAGGCGTGTTTACAGCGCCGTTGCATAGCAGCGGAAGTTATTCGAATGTTACTTGCGTATTAGTCTCCGCGGGGATGTGTTTACAGAGTCGTTGCGTAACAATGAACGTCTGTTCTTACTTCACTATTCCCGCTTTCGGGCGTCATGCCACAGTATTTTAGCTTAACTGGCTTTTGGGCTACTTTGTGTGTTCTTCCTAAGTTGGACAACAAAGGAGACAGTAATGAATGAATGTGAATATGAAGGGGCTGCGTGTAGTGTTTAATTGAGTGTAGCGTTTCTCAGTCCTATGTGTCATATAGAAAAGTGGACGTGTATTTTCTCCGGGGCGACTCAATCCTAGGGATCATCTCACACGATTCTTCGGCCAGAGCTACCTGTATGTGACTGGCAATCCCAATGCAAGGACTGCAAGGACTCCACATTCCGAGGGGTAGGGCAATGAATGAAACCCGTCATGTTGCTGTAACAAACAGACGAATATGACCTCCGAGGCCTGAATTCAAACCCGCTACTTTCACGATCACGGCTTCAAGCATCACGCCTGGGAAAAACACGCACTGCGTACACAAAAAAAACCTAAACAAACTCCGTGGTTTTAGTCCGCAAGCGAACTATACCGACCGAGCGACCGCCGCTTGTCGGCAAAATTAATACCGACTGTAGCGGATAGAGGGTGTAGCGTGGTCAGCGCAACGAATCCCCACGGCCGTTAATCTCGGTTTTCTAGACCGGAGCCGCTGTTTCCTTGAAATAGCTCCTCAATTATCCTCACGAGGCTGAGTGGACCTCGTTCCAGAACCACTACTTCTCAGAAAATCTGGTAGCGCCGGGAATCGAACCTGGAACTCTGGATCAGTAGCCAGGAACTCTGACCACTAGACCACAGAGGCGGTCCAGTGCTTGCACAATCTGACAAAAACGTAAACACAAGGATTTTAAAATCTGGATGCTACCTCATGACGAGTTTGAGAGCTGATGTTCTCATGGCGATCTGAGATGTGACGCTGTGTTGTTTTGCAGATAGGTGTAAGTAGTTAATGTTTTCGTTTACTACAGCTGGATATGAGAAAGTGTGTCCCGAATTCGGTTTAATGCACGTTTTAACACTTCACAGACATCTCAACGAGACTAATCGTTTTCCATAGCAGGACATATCTGTGATGGCTCCAACAATCTTGTTTCCTGGTTCCTTCAGATTCCTTGGTAAGGATAGCTGTACCACTTTTATTTCTTAAACGCCAACAAAATGAATTTAGTTTCACGGGAAGTCTGGTGAACAAGGAGGCCAAATGGACCAATCCATAGCTCATAAAACATAGCCGCGATTTCATGAGACCTGGCACCGCTTACGTGTAACGTAGCTCTGTCATCAGAACTTCATTTTAACTTCAAGTATCGAAGAGTGCAGCAGCAAGCTTGCAGTGTTCAGAGTACATACCGGCATCTCTGGCGGAACAGTGCTCGGAAATGAACCATATAAATGAGAAAGCGTCCGGTCAACACATGAATGTTGGCCAGTACTGTCTCCAGGTGGACAGTGCCGAGTGCTGATATGACAAAAAAAATCCGTGGCCTGTAGTCCGCAAGCGAACTATACTGACCGAGCGACCGCCGCTTGTCGGCGAAGTTAGTGCCAACTTTTCCGGATAGAACAAACGGATCCCCACGGCCATTAAACTAGGTTTTCTAGACCGGAGCCGCTATTTCCTTGAAATATCTCCTCAATTATCATCACTAGAGAGAATGGACCCCGTTCCAGACCCACTGCTTCTCAGCAAATCTGGTAGCACCGGGAATGNGCCACTAATCGCTTGAGCTATGGCGCGGCCATTAAATGTAAGTAACTCAGTGGTCTCTGCCAGTTGGATTGGTGAAATATAAGTCTGACACATACCTTAAATTTTGTATACATGTTTTCCCTATATATATATAAGAACAGGAATCGTAAAATACATTTACAGACTTTTCGACATTATCAATTGTCCTGTTTGTTTATTTAAAAAACGACGTTTCGGAGACTGGTCTATGTTTCTGTCCTCGGATAAAGGCGTACTCTATTGGGCCCAATCGATAGAGCTTGTCCCTATCACCGGGCAGGATTCCAAAATTTGATATGAATTTCACATACAGCGCGGGTAGCGAAGCTGTGCACCGAAACCCGTCATATTGAAGGTCCACTACATAGTTCTTTTAAGTCCTTAGGCTGGCGAATACAGTTTGAGTTAAGGAAGTAAAACTTCTCATGCTCTCCGTGAGTCTTGGTAGTACTCGGCTTGTACCTACCCCCGCCCCACCAAGAGGCGCAAGGCTTCCAGGTTCCCCTCGAAGGCTGCCCACAGTGTCGGTGTCATGCCGTCCTCATCGCGGCTGTTACAGTCGTTGCGGGTCGCCTCCTTCAGGATGTCCAGGATACCGTCCTTCGCGGCCCTGCAACGGACACAGTTCATCTCAATACACTCTGCGACCTGTTGACGCCCAGCAACAATGTTGTACGGAACAAGATGCTAAGGTAAAATGTAACAAGCCGTGAAGGCACATAGCGTTGTGAGACGTCGAGGCTCCAAAATTTTGTCTAGACAGTCGGCTCACATATGGCGGTAAGTGTTTAGCCTTACACGCCGACCGCCCTTTACTCCCCAACAAGGTTCCGGGTACTCATTTCTGTTATAGGCTAAGCTGACCATAGTGCGGCTGGAAGGATTAGATCAATTGAAAGAATTCACTTCATCGGGGCTCGAAACCGCGACCTTCCGGGTTGTAGCATAGTGTCTGAACCAACTACGCAACCGCGTGCAGAAGAGGGTATGGGAACTAACAAACTTACTCCATGAAGCAGATTACATTTTGATAAGCTAATAGTCGTTCAGGCATGTACTGTCTTCGCTCGCTTGGAAACCGGGATCGTTGGTTCGAATCCCACTCAGGGTATGGATGTTTAGTTTGTGTGTGTGCGTTTTTCTGTGTTTGTGTACAGGTAGAGGCCTTGCGACGAGCTGATCACCCGCCCAAGGAGTCCTACCGAATGTGTAAGATCTAGAGAAACCGAAGTGAACGGAGAAGTTCATGGAGGTAGGCCTAGGCCCACTGGGGCTGTAGTGCCAAGGAAAAAAAAACAAAATAGTCGTTCAGCCGTTCAAGAAATTCTCCACATTTTGAGGAATCTGAGAGTTAATTACTGTATTCACAAGCTCCTTCCATAGTCCCTAACCTCAGCCAGATAAATCCAGTCCACAATGTCATACACTATTTCCTTAAAATCCAGTTTAATTTCATTCTCACATCTACAGTTTGGTGTTACAAGAAGCCCCCTTCATAACCATTTTGTAATGGACATACTATGAATTGGTTCAAACCACATAGAGAAGTTGAGCTGAAATGAGCGCAATTAATTTATAAAGACGATAAAGAAAGCCGTCTTTTGGGATGTGGCGCCGTGTAGAAATTGTTACCCGACGTTTCGGAGGAACGCATCGCCTCCATCTTCACAGTAGAAGACAAGAAGAAACCCATGGGCTAACCAGCTTGAGCAGGTGCAACAGACTGTTGCAATACGTTCCTCCGAAACGTCGGTTTATACACGGCGCCACACCCCAGAAGACGGCTTCATTTATAGTCACCGCCCTGAAAACCTTAAATCTTACATTTTATGAAGAAGTTTACGGCTGGCTGTGTGGAATTGGGAAGAAACAGGGGAACAAAGGACGTCAGAGAAACACTGCATACTGCTCAGAAAGCAAACTTCTGAAGTGTAAAGACGTGTAGAAATGATGGTAGAACACGAATGACGAAAACAATTCTCGTGACTACAATTTTCTTTACTAACGTGGAGAACGCATATAAAAGCTAAGAGAAGACAACTTGAGCTCAGAACCAGAAATATGAATTGGCTAATCGACAAAAAAATCACAGCTATCTCGTGAAAACAAAATAATCCTATACAAAACAATAATCAAACCAGTCTGGACCTACGGGATAGAGTATGGAGATGCAGCAAACCTTCCAACACAAAAATTCTCCAAACGTTCCATTAACTAGTTAATGCTCCCTTGTACGTATCAAACGCTACCTTACGCAATGATCTAAGCATACCATATGTAACAGAAGTCATCAGAGCATACGCGGAGAAACACAAACACCGGACCACTCAAAACAACAACCAATTAATAAGAAACCTCTTCAACCAACCAGCAATAGAAAGAAGACTAAACAGAATGTGGCCAGAGGATCTCATTAGATAAGCACCAGAGAATCATCGGAGGATGATAACTGCTTCAATATTACACACACCCATCCCTTTTACTAATTACTCTATTTATATATATATTGAGTAGATTGTAAAATAGAAAAAAAAATAAAAAAAAAAGTTTCTTTCGATAATATTTTTTACATTGAGATAAATTATAATTAAGCTTATCTCATCGCCACACGTGTGTACGTATTTACATATTTCTATACAGCAGAATTGTAACTACTCGAACGTGTAATGAGATTACTGTGACACAGTGCGCCGACAAGGGACTTCACTGTACCATCCTACATATTGTAACGTGCATAGCTAGGCAACGGCTCTGTAAAACATTTCCTAGGTAAGACAGTCAACTGTAGAACTGCAGTTGCTTGTTATCGAACGTTTCAATAATCACGCTGTTACAAGGGCATATCCATGGTAACAACTTCTGTCAGTGCTGAAACCTTGAAGGCAGGGTGATCTCTATTCAGTTCTCCAGAAGCTATGAAGGGAGGGCAGAACAGACCAGAATACCTCCTGAAGGCTGGGTCGAATACTCCACCATGACTCTGCGAGTCGTAGGAGACGATGAAAAGAGAAGTCTCGAATCTGACACAGTAAAATATGGTCTAGAGTACCACGGGAGTCAGACCCGAGAATGACTGCGCTGGCGAGGAACAGGAGCATTTTTAAACGACAGACCCGTCCTCTCATCACAGAGAGCGCCCCATACAGTCCTACATTAGTTAATCAGAGGGAAAACCTTACATTTTACAGATCTACCTACCTATGGCTCTTCAGCCCTTGTGGACCTTGACCGCATTTTCATTTTCTTAAATTATAGAAAGTCAGTAGGACACCTTGGACGGGGGATCAGCTCGTCGCAAGGCGAATACTTACATACAGAACAACACAAACAGAATAAACGCACACAGACATCCATGTCTCGAGTTGGATTCGAACCCACGACCCCAGTGTTGGAGCGGGCGAAGACGGTTCATGTCCTACACAGCGCGGCCACTGTGATCGGTACCTTTTACAGATTGGAGTTCATAAATAACTTATAGACTAAGTCGTAAACACAAAACAAGCAAAATAACACTTAATCAGAAATGTTCATCTAACTGGTTACAGCATTGTAGCAAAACACGTTAATCATGATGTCTGGTGAAAATTACCAAAACACAACCATACAATTAAGAACAAGAATTCAATCCGCTATCTGGAAAACGGAACACGTCCGCATTTCCCCTATTAGACACGTGCCCTTTTCAAACTAACGATCCAATAAAGTTGTGGGAACAGACGCAATTAGATGTATGATGTGCCATTGTTCCTGGCAGTTACCAAGACAACCATTATTAATTGATGCTAGTACCTCTGTGTGAAGACAGGAGTAGCAGGACCCTGTGAGCTACGGAAAACTTTCACTGGTGCCCACAACAACGTGAAATCTTCTCGGATATAATGAGATGCTTTTGACATATGAATGCAACGTGAACACAAAGCGAAACGAATTATAACCGATCTCTGCTCCAAATGTCATGTTAACATTTTGTGGGTTACCGAAGTCACGCATATGTCTGACACCATGAGAACATAACATGCTCTGCCTGACTACTGATACTTCTGTTAAAGGAAACATATTTTTTGGTAATAAGTTCCGTAGGAACTAGATTCATTTGTATTTCTAAGGTAATGAATCGAAAGCAGGCACTAGCTGTCCTTTAATTTCAATAACACTGCATTATTATGTCTCCAAAATAAAGGTATTATTAGCTTACTTTCCCTTATTTTGAGAAAATAAAGGAGGCTTAGGAGATTGCTCTGCTGTCTGTGAGTTTATGTTTGTATGTTCCTCTTAATTTTTTCGTTTTCTATGCGGTCCGTGTAGTATCAAAGGAAAGTAGGCGAGTAGTTCTTCCAAGAAGTTATTATTAGATAATTCTTTAAGATTTTCCCAGCTTAGCGAGTATGGATACGGGTATGGGTGACATACTATTCGATCCTTGGTCTTGGTATAGACTACCCTGATTTTCCTGTACATCAAAGAAATTTCCAAAAAGTACCTTACCATAATCCAAATTAAAAAATTCACAACCCTCCTGTTTCTTTCTTCTTAATCAACTTATTTCTCATCCTATGCTACGTAACTTATGGAGCTGATACATCGTCGCTGAAACGTAACATGACAACTTCAAACAAAACAAAAGAAAAACTCCGTGGCTCGAGTCCGCAACCGAACTATACCGACCGAGTGATCGCCGCTTGTCGACGAAGTTAGTGCCAATTTTAGTGGACAGAGGGTGTCGCGTGGTCAGTGCAACGAATCCCCACAGCCGTTAATTTCGGTTTTCTAGACCGGAGCCGCTATTTCCTTCAAACGGCTCCTCAATTATCCTCACGAGGCAGAGTGGACATCATTCCAGAACCACTACGTCCCAGAAAATCTGGTAGAGCCGGGAATCGAACCCGGTACTTCTGGATCTGTAGCCACGAACTCTGACCACTAGACCACAGAGGCGGTCGACAGAACAAACGTGAACAAAAAATTAAAAAATTAATCTTCATATTTAAGCATGCCTGTAATTTTCTCAATATTAGGACTACAGTTTCTGGGCAGTAGGAGTACAGTAAACTATTAATTACGGGCCTTTTCGTAGTGTACGAACGTATGGAGATTGATGTTGTTAATGAGATTTAGCTAGCTATCAGATGATGTATGTACGGCGAATTAATATAACTGTTACCAACGGCAGGCTATCTTTACTAGAGTGGAATTATTCATTTATACACATATAATCTTACTTATTGCCGGTCACGGTAGCCGAGCGGTCTAAGGCATGCACTGTCTTCGCTCGCTCGGAAGCCGGGATCGTGGGTTCAGATCCCACTCAGGGCATGAATGTTTAGTTTGTGTGTGTGTTTTTTTTTCTGTGTTTGTGTACAGGTAGAGGCCTTGCGACGAGCTGATCACCCGCCCAAGGAGTCCTACCGAATGTGTAAGATCTAGTAAACCGAAGTGAAACGGAAAGTTTCATGGAGTTAGGCCTAGGCACAAATTGGGGCTGTAGCCCCACAGGAAAACAAATCTTACTTTTTAGTCTTGGCTACAAGTATCTTTGTTTTTCCGTTTCAGACATTCTTTACGAACTGTTCGGGAGATAATTTCATATTGGGAGGGCATGTGATCTGTCCC